CCTACCGCGTCGGCGGCGGCGGTGTGGGTGGCCTGCGCGTAGAGCCACTGGGCGGGCGGAGGAGGGTCGGAGTCGGAGAAAGAGTAATTGGAAGTGTCGGCTGAAGTGAGGAGTGTGAAGAGATAGAGAAGAATGGTTGGTGTTTGTTGAGACATTGACATTTTATTTTTTGCTGCTGAGTACTGCTGATCTGAGACTCAGACAAAAGCTTTCTATCTTTCTCTCTTTCTCATTCTTCTGCTTTTTTTTTTACTGCGTTCATCATCTTCTTTTTACTGAGTAATCTACTGCTGCTACTACACTTTTCCATGCACCTACACTTTCGGAATGCCCCTCTCATTGCTGTCAGAGTAACTAAACCCAAACTTGTTTTTGGTTCTTTTCTTAATTTCTTATACATAAAGGAGGGGAAAAGCCAATACACTTTCTTGCTGCCCCTCCCATAAAAGTATCAAGTTTACCAAAATAAATAATGTGTATAATAATCTGGTGCAATCTCAAAAAATCAAAATCGCATTTCTATTATAAAATATATATAAATGATAGAAATCACCCTGAATTTGACCCTGATTTTTTTTTTTTTAATGAAACCTACAACTTTATAACAATTGACTTAAAAGGTCAAGGCCCATTTTATTCCTTGTAGGCTACACTTTGGGTTTGCATTCATTCACGAGTTTCCTTCAGTAGATTTATCTTCTTTTACCTATTTATTAGGTTCTAAATAAGAATCTCATTCATTGTCTATTTATTATTCTCTGACCTAGTTATGGTATATAATATATACGCAGTATGCAGAGACCACCCTAACAATACAATTCTGTTTGGATTGACTTCGTAATAATATAATCAATTAAAGTCTACCTATTTTACCCATGGTATAAGATATTAGCACAAAATATCCATAATTAAAAATTGTTATTATCTTTTTATTTATCAAAAACTGTAATTGCACACAAAATGATTATTCTGAATAACTTGATTAAAATATACAAGTTATTACTTATGTTAATGTTGATACTAAAATCAATCTATTTGAAATTTCATATTCAAAATTCATCGATGTCATCATGAAAAAAAAAAATCTCATATGTTCGTAGCATTTATATTTTATTCTTTTAATGGATTAAATGAAATTTCTTTTTTCCAACCACATTATTTTCATTTGCGGTAAATATTAGAATCAATGAAGCCTATCAACGAGTAGGGTTTATAAATCATAAGCACTGCACAAGTATGTGAATTACACTTTGAAGAATCTTACGGAGCATAAAAATTTGAAAAGGATAAACACTAGATATAATTCACAGTTGAAAGTCAAAAAAATACCAAAGGCAGGTTTATGGATTTCAACAGCTGGAGAATGCGCAATGCAACAGAAATGCCAAAACTTTGAACTCCCCCTTTTCCATCCAGCTCATAATCTCAAAGGGAACAACACTTGATGAAGAAAAACCCCATTGGGGTAGGTAAGCTACAACGAAAGGTCCATGCATTGCTCTTCTCTATCATCATCTGTCACAGATGAAGACCTGTTTTCTCTCCCTGCCATGCACCTCTTATATGGCACAAACCCTTTCCCACATCTTTCAGGTTTCACTCTCACCTTTAGCTGAGATATGGCTGATGTTTCACATGGTGTGCTGTGGCCAACAAGTTCCAATTTTCCATCCCCCTTGTTTATGTTTGGAGGTATTGGTTTGCATGCCTCAATTGTTAGAGAAGAAGGTTTGCAGGTATCCGTTACCGTTAGAGTCATTCCAAAAAGTTTGAAAGTCCGTCTGGAAGATTCTTCCGATGTGTCTTCTTCGATGGACATACTTTCATTTGGAGGAAGCTTGAATTTCTAAACATTGAGATCAAACAATAACATAAGATCGTATGTCATTCTTTTCAAGTTACTCTAGTGATGATATTGTAATCAATACAATGGAAAAAAAATACTACCAACATACCCTTTTAAACACACACTTACTGCTTGGTTGACATTTATTAAAAATCACAAAATGGGTAGGTCTCTCACATTATTTAGTGTGTCTCCTGATTTTGTAATTTTCAATAAATTTTAACCGATAAAAAAGCATGTAGTAAGGGGAGTCTTCTACAATAGAATGGATTGGGAAGTACCATGAGAGGTTTCTGATCATGAGATGAGTCAGTGTTTAGGCCAGCTTCCTCGGACGTTGTTTTGGGTTCAGCCTGGGTAAAACTGCTTGTATGGACGCCGCTAATGGATGACATGGGAGACAAACTTCCATTTGGTGTGTCTGAATCAGAGGAGCCAAGGCTGTCTGAACCAAGTGCAGATAATACTGATTTTGGAGACTGGTTTTCTTGATCAAAATCTGATGACTTTAGAGAACTAGACTTCATAAGTTCTCCTGGGATCAAAATTTCCTTATTAGGAGCCTCAACTAGCTTCCGAGGGTAAGGATGCATCGGCTTTCGCTTCGGTCTTGGAGGCGGAATTTCAATTGATTCCACTGTTTTTGTAGTGTTCCCAGTAGGGTCGCGAAGAACCTGTCATCAAGTTAAGACAAAGGAATTAGAGTGAATTCAATGACAAACAGATGAACCCTTCAATCCCAAAGAAGGTTGCACTTTGGATATACTAGGGTCATCAAAATCTTAACTTAGTTTGACGTATTGTTTATGGTAAGTAGAAAATTTGGCAGCTTATTAAAATTGAGCAGTAAACCTTAGAAAAAAACTTCTGAGCATGACTTCGAATCTGAACAGCAGTCTTTGTGCCGACATGTTCTGTCGTGAAAATAAAGCATCTCAAAATTTAGAAACCAAGCACAAGCACAATCATACTCTTTCATTACTCATTTTCTCATAGCATTCTTGCCTAAGATATGGAGATTCGAAAATAATAATACCTTCAATACGTCGCCAGGCCCGGCCATGCAGCTTTAGAGCTTCAAGGAACTTCTTATGCTCTTCATCGGTCCATCGCTCTCTCTGTTTGGTGATGGTATATGGTTTCCTCACCTATTGAAGAATAAACAAAATTGATCAAAATAATAAACACCAACACTCGAAAAATAGAACAATTAAAGTATGCAAGTGCCAATAAGACTTGAGAATTAAGGGAGAACCTTCAGAGCATAGTCATTCCCGCAAGAAAACTGATCATGAAGTTGAATATGTGTAACAGAATGCACTCCAGAACTCAAAGATACTCCATTTCCTAATGGAGAACCACTTTGTGATATGTTAAATCCATTTTCATCCTTCAAAGAGAAAAGGTATATCATCAAGGGAACCCAAAATTTTCATATATAATGGCCAATCAAACCAGAAATCATTCATCCACTAAGGAATCAGATACTTCTCAAGCGAATCTTTCATTCCACAAGAAGACAAGTAGCAAAAACACCTAAGAAATATTTCAAGGAAAAAGAAAAATAAACACCACAGTGAAACAACTCTTTTGATAAAGACAAGAATAAGTTTCATTTATAATCCCTTAAGAAGGCCCATTCTGCCAATAACTGTTTCCCAAAGTGAAGCATTCAAACTTTTCCCTTTTTTTCTGAAATGTGAAACGCATGCATATTTGGCATTTGAAATAGGCAAACCAAAACGCAATTAAGGTTCTCTCTTTTCCACCTTTTTCAGAAATAGAACTAAACATGTCCCACCCAAAACGAATACAATCAAGTGATCAACACTGAACCACAATCTCAGCCACCATTTAAAAATCAAAGTATAGTATCAAAAATCAATTATCAAACAAATCATATCAAACTCAAAAGGAAAACATAGCAGAAACATATACATCACATACTTGAATCGCCATAGCTGCAGAAACCACTTGTCAAGATCTTCTCCTCCCTTTTGACAGAGCCAAACTTCCTCAACTTTGCCCTCGAATACTACTACCCTCACTCACAACCAGATCGCAACACCCAAGTACTAAAACTCCTCTTGCTCAATACAAATCCCCAAATAACAAAAGTACAACACAACAACAAAATCACATGTCCCACCCTCCCACCTCTCCTTAGAAAGCTAGAAACAGAATCAAACAAATTGTGCACAAAAATGGCCCACCTTGATCCAAAAGTCAATTCATCACACAAACAAGGCCTTGATTGTTCACTTCATCAACCACTAATCCACATCTCCAAATCACAAAACAAAACCCTCTCTATCCACAAGATCCTGTGATCAAGCACCATCAAAGGATGATAACAAAAAACAAATTAACCCCCTCCTCAACCAATAACTGCATGGATAAATATTAAAAATCCCAGAAGAAAAAATCCAACCTTTTCCAAATAGAAAGAGAGGCTTTTTCTTGTACCACTACAATTTAGTAGCAACAAAAACATAAGCAATGAAAAATCAACCAAACAAAACAAGACCCCCCAAGGAAAATGGTTTTTTCTGAGGGAAAAAAAAGTTTTTTTTTGTTGGGTGTGAAATTTACAGAAAAAGGGAAGAGAAGTGGATAATAAGTTGGAAGTTAGAAGAAGTGAAAGCTCAGACACAGAACAGGGCTTGTGATTGTGAGGGGAAAAAAAAAGAAGGAGCAACGAGGAAGTGACACGTGAGATGTTGAACTTGTATTTTCTCGCAGGAAAATTTGAAAAAGTGTTTTCATTTTTTTTTTCCGACATCGAAATCTCGAGTATTCGAAGGAATCTTGTGGCTCACGTCGCGAGTTGTCTCGGACACGTGGCGCACGGTCGTGGACCCTGTTTCTAAATCTAAATTTTGTGTTTAAAAATTCGGTGGGCGAAGAAAAAGCGAGAGTGTAAGCACTTTGTGGATAATTTCGAACACGTCACACTCGCGGGTGAGGGTGAAGCAACACGCTACTCGCGGGTTGGAGAGCGCCACGTGTTCACTTGCACAGTGCACAATTAAAGTGTGGCCCATGTTTTTCCCCCAAAAAACAGAAACAGATAAATGCCATTATTTATTAGCTTCTGTTCTAATATTCTCTCTGTCTTCTATTTGTATTTGTATGGATCTAAAAAATATCTATTTTATCTGTTTCCTATTTATTTACATGAAAATAATAGTCCTCCATAAATTAAGAAATATAATTAATCTTTTTATTAATTTTAATTTATTTATTGTAACTTTTTAAATATTTAGTTAAATTGAAAATAATAAAAAATATGTTCTATTAAATTATTTTCAAAAAGTACTATAATTATAATTAAAAGAACTAAATTATTATATTTACTTTGACTTATTATTTAAAACACTACTTATTGTTAACTTGATTGTTAAAATAGTTTCTTGACAAGTAATTATAAAATTTGTTTTACTTATTACAAAATTATTATTTTCCCTGTGGCTTTTGTTGCCAAAGTTGACTATCTCATTAACATTAAGTTATGGTTACTTTTTCTAAACTAAAAATGAGTTGCTGGAACTAAATCAGAAAAATAGTCTTTTCCCTTTTCAATTATTATAATGTTCGGAATTTTAGAAAACTTGTAAGTTCAACCAATTTATGACACTAAAAAACTCAAAAAGAACCCCAGTATCTAGCTATAATGCTTTATTTTACAACATGTTCAAGAACTTAAAAGGGTAGTACCTAGTAGGATTTAATTGTATTTGACTCGGTAGTTAAATAAGTTGTTGCCTCCCAAAAAGATTTTTAAAATATGAGGCAAATCGAGAGTTTTCTCTTTAAAGCAAAAGGGTTCAAAAAAATCTTATCCCTACCTACGAAACAAGTTAAAAAAATACGTTAAAATAATAATTATTTAACAAAAAAATTAATACCGTATAGCTACTAAAAAATATATTAGTATATATTAACAGAAAAAAAATGAGTTTTTAATTAATTAATATTAAATAATGTTATAAATTAAAATCTTATTCTAAAAGTAATTATAAAATTATAAATTTAAGCTTTGGTCATAAACATTGACATATAATATAAGACAATGAGTGTTTATAGAAAAGGTTAGGATTGTGAGGGAGGAAGAGCAGAAATGATTGACATGGATAGATATTGAAATGAATGATTTAAAATAAAATGGCGGTATATTGTTAAATTAAATTAAATTAAAAAAAAAAGAGAGGATATTTGTGAAGTTAAAATATCTATTAAAGAGGGAGTGAGTGTAGTAGGTGGATAGAAGCATAAATATTAAATAATAAATTAGAGAGTGTGAATGGGACTTTTTGCTTTGCGCTTTTCGCCACGTCAAGCGTCAAGCCCACTCACCGACCCACTTAAGGGAGGACGCCACGTGTACAAACCTGAAAGTGATAGACATCGTTTTTGCACCACCTCTTTTTCTTCTCCTCCTCTTTTTTAAATCAAAAAATTTCTAACCACATCTTTTTTTAGGATTTTGCTTTTTTTTTTAAATCAAAATGATTTAGATGCCCAAACTTAATGTTAGGTGCTTTTATTAATTAGGTTTTATCGCCGCCTTGTCTCAACAATTTGCCAATTTTCCACTCAATTTTTTAATTTCTACATTTTATTATTTGAAGTTTAAAATTTTGTAAATTTTATCATTATGTTAGCTAACCCTTTAATATTATTAGTTTATTACTTACCTAATATATTATCCGTTAATGTAGTATGTTAATCACTAACATATGTTAATAATAAATGTAGTTATGTAAATTAATGTCGTGTTAGGTTCACCTAAATTATTCTAACCTAAACAAAATAATAGATTTTTTGGTCAAATTTGAGAAGTCATGTTGTTGAGGATCGGTATCTAAATTGGTTGTTGATCTAGATGGATTAAAAAGATAAAGTTAATGATTTGATAGAGTCATGTCACTTAAACTACTTGTTTATGTTGTACGAGATCTCCTCGCTGAAATGTGTAACAATATTTATAATTATTGTGTTATGCATATGATGTAGTGATTGAGTTGTGTTGTTCATATGCGATGTTGACTTGTGATGAGATGTGTTGTTGTGTTGCAACTTGAGATATTGATGTTGTGTTGTTCAAGTTGATAATATGTTATATTTGAAAGTGGTAGTTGTTGTTGATATGTGTTGAACAAGTTGAGTCATTATAGGGATAAAGTAGTTGTTGTTTTTTTTTTCCATACTCTCTATGTTGATTATTTCAAACACTAACTTACCTTTTCATATTTTCATGTGGTTGGACTACGATGATCATACGTGGTAAGAGAGCAAAATAAAGATGTTATTAAGATAGAGTTCCTTTTGAGGTTGTCCTTATGTTGGCAGTGTTGATCTTTTAGAGTTACTCTTATATAGAGATATCAGTTGTATTTAGTAGGTTTGACTGAGTATTAATATCATTATTTGTATCTGAATTACTATATATCTTTATGTGCTTGTACAAAATTTTATGTTTCTAGTTGTTACTAAAGTTCTCACATGTATATATTAGTATCTATTTTTCATAATCATTATAGGTATTTAGTTGTGTATGTTGACCGTTGCCAGTTTTGAACCTTTAAGTGTAAGGACTTGGCTAGTCATTATATCAATGGACATAGACTTCAAAATGCATATGCATGTGGCTCCAATAAAAACGCATTGATTTGTTGCTTGCCCAAAGGCATGCAAAAAGTAGTACGAGAGAACATGTTGAATCACACCCTCATTATACTCTACACTATGAGGAGATACATCAGTGGCTCATTGAGACAACTTTGTTGTGCAAGTTCCACCCCATGCACATAAGCAGGCGAAATTGGGGTTCTCATTCCCAATTGTCCCCAAAGTCACGAATCTCCAAGCTTTTACACAATGAAGACCTTCCCTGACAACGTATTCCATATTGTATCCATCAAAAACATTTATGTATATGATGCATATCACACAAGACTCGATGCAATATCATATTATTTCAACACATATTCAATGATTTGTCCATTTGTCATCGCATGATCTTCATAAGATCCACATACATCAATTTGCCAATACCAATTCACATTATTTAATCATACATAACTCACAATCACATAAATACATACTCAACACATATATCTTTTCTTGAATAAAGTAACCAACACATGCATTAATCACCAATCACAATTATCTCACAAGAGTCACATGTTCATAGTTCAAACACACAATGTCCACAATATCATGTGATAACATCTCAATATAGAATCATTATGAAATCTTATAATCACATGTTAATACCTCAACCATATTCACTAAGAAATCAACACCAAACTAAGTGTTTACATTAATAACTTAAGTAGTCTAGCACATTATTGATAACACACATTAATCACTTAGGTATCACTATCACAAAAATATTGCAATTCGTTAACAACAATCTCACTTCATAGCTTATTCATAATTTTTTTCTCTCATAATTTTTCTTTCTTAAACATTGATATAGGTACCTCAAATTATTCATAAGATTAAACAATTCAAAGGTAAAGTCATTTAACATCATCATTCACAAACTACATTTTCATAACTTAGTCTTCTATGACCTCGTGTTGTCCAAACATGATATCTAGAATTGTATACATGTTTTCAAGTTGATCTTAAGTTTTTTTTTAGAAATCTAAGACAATTATATACAACTTCTATGTTGACTTCAAAAGTTAATTTTGTCATCTACCATTTTTAAAAAGTTACAAAACTATAGCATATCAACCTAAATTTGAAATCTTGACCTTCACTCATTAATTTGATCATAATTAAAGTTCTAGACCTCATTTTTAGGTAATTCCAATGGTATTTGAAAGCTAACATCTAGGGTTACAACTTTCATGAAGTCCATAAAAGTAAAATTGACAAGTTACTAGCTTAAGTGAGCTAGCTATTAGCTTAAGCAAGGTCATCTCACTCGAAGCGAGCTAAAAATTCGCTTAGAGTAAGTCTAAGATTGGTTGAGCAAGCTACATCAGTTCAAAACCCAATATTATTCTATTCATAGGTTACTGGCCTTCCCTACCACATTCCTTAACAATTATGCTATTCATAGGTTTTTAACCTTCCCTACACCATTCCTTAACACTTTCAATTCAAATCCAATCAATAAGATGTCAAATTACAATCTATTACTATACAATTTAGTCATAAATTACTCAAATCCACATGCTCATTTCAATTATCCTATATTAACTGAATACATTCATTTTCTAGGATTCTCACAAGAATCCATGAACAATCCAAAATCAACAAGATTAGTAATTACATACAATTAAACACACATATACCAATCACCAACATCAATTAGAAAACTAGAAAATCACATATAACATAGAATTACAAAGTCATGAGTATGAATTATGATTGCTCTCTCGTATAATGCAAACAATAGAGGTCAATTTTACTATCCAACATATATCACATGCTTAAAGTGAGACTACTCACTCTCTCCCTTAAGACACTAGATGCAGGCGTGGATCTCTAGGGTGACTTCCAACGGTTTTTAGTTTTCCCAATTCTTCAAAACATGAAAACATAAAAAGAAAGATAATGAGAAGCATAAAAACATAGACTGACGTAATCCCTCATAAAGTCCCTAATTTGCATTTAACCCATTAGTTAATAAAATAATCCACGGTTATATTTTCCTTCCCTTTAATTAATTAAAGCTTGTAAATAATATACAATATAAACATATTTCTCCCAACACAACTATAAATAAAATAAAATACATAAAACTATTATAATAAAAATAAATATTTTTCTCCAAATACTTCTTATAACAAAATAACTTCACAAATCTTTCTTTATTTGATTAAAAACACTCATAATTATTTTAAAAACCTCTAAATATATGTATAAAACTCATTTAATTAATTAAAATATCCTTTTAATAATTTTAAAAAACTTAAGGTATTACAAATGTGTCATATTAACCGTTGATAAGCCACATCAAAAATTAATTAACATAAAAAATGATTAGCAATATCATACATTTTGGTGTAAAAAAAACAATATCATATAGTCAATTAATTAAATATAAAATATTAAAATTAGATAGAAAAATATATAAATTTAAAAAAACACGTGACAATTTTTTAAATAAAACGTGAGTAAAAAAGATATAATTAAAAATATTAGTAATTAACATCACTATAATGTTAGATTTTTATTTTTATTTACTGTTGTGTAATTACTCGACCATAACAAGGTCAATCTTGGGAGTTGATTCGAATTACAATACTATTATATTATGTTATAAATATTTATATAAAAAAACTCATATTTATCATTTTATCTAGGACTCATAAAATATCAACATCAATACTGTATATGTGTGATGAGTGTAGCAACATGTAATTTGTTAATCTCATTTGGATAGTTTAGGTAAAATAATGAATATCAGTACTTAACTATAATATGAAAATTATTATTAAATAGTTAAATAAAAGATCATAACACCTTATATTATTAGATAAAAATAATTTTGGTGGCACAAAATAAGATAATTAAGGAAAAATTCATATATTCACTTTATTTAAATATTTTTTTAATCCTTTAAATTGATGATACATTTGTTTTTGGGTCCTTTAAATTACCAATAATATATTTGAAAGAAGTAAATAAGATAGTTATGTACATTAAATTTAATGTGATCATTTTACTAACATGAAAATTAATATGTAAATTTTGTAGGATAATATTTGATGGATTTCTTAATAAAATTTAAAATATAAAAGTTAAAATAATAATTTTTGAAATACAAGAATTAAAAAGATTAATCTCAAAATTGTGAAATTAAAAAATTATTTTAAAATTTAAAAACTAAAAATATATTTAAATGACACCATTAAACACATTTACTTTTAATAATGACATAACAATTAATTATATCTTTTAATTGTGTCATGTCACTATAAATATATTTATTTTTAACGTGACATGACATAATTAAAAAATATAATTGATTGTTAGTATGAAAAATTTTTACAATAATAATGTATAGTTGATTAACTTTAAACTTATATAGATAAGGTTCCGCGAGTGGGAGGCATTGGTGCGTCTAAGGGACAGAGACAAGAGGGAGTCTGACTAATAACGATATCGTATCAACTGCATTATTGCTACAAGATTTTTGGATGTTGACTCATGCTACCTCCCCTATATATTTACCAACAATTCTCATCATTTATCTACTTCAATCGTGAATCAATATTAATTTACGTCCTTTTCATTCCATTTTATATGTCCATTTAAATGCTTAACAAACTTTAGTAAACACTTTAGAATAAAGTAGTAAAGTTTAAGGTTTATAAGGTATTTACAATTTATAATTATAAATAGATAAAACTTATGATAAATAAATAATTTAAAGATTTACATATATTTTTAATCTTCATAGAATCAGTGGATTTTGATTTTATTTCAATAAAAAAATTATTATTAATTTTTCATCTTTTTAAAATTTATAAATATTGATTTTAGTTCTTGTGAAATGAATAAATTTTGATTTTGATTTTGTAAAATATTTTTCTTTAATTTTCACTTCTTTAAAATTTAAAGTCACTATTTTTATTGTCTTTAATAGTCATTTCAAAATAATCAAATAATAGATATTTTAAACACTTATACAAATTTTTAAGGATATCAAATATTGATCTTAAATCACTAATAATCGTAAATAACACTTAAGATTATTATTTAATCATTTAATAAACAAAAGTAGTTAAAAATATTTATATAAAATATAAGGACTAAAAATCACAATTCTAATTTTAGAGAGATGAAAAAAATATATAAAAACTATAATCAAAACTAATTAATGTTGTAGGAGTTAAAAATATATTTAAATTTATTTTAATTATAAAAATTAATTATAATTAAGATTTATAATAAATAAATATTTAGAAATGTTAAACATCAAGCGGGTGGACATCAATCCTATCACATACTTAGACTTGATTGATTACAATTCTTGCCAACTAAACATCTTAACAACATTGATAATTAACCATTAGTACATTTTATTAAATTAATGACATTGTCAATTACAATAACTTTTAGTATGTCTAACTAAATTAATGAAAACTTATATCTCACTCACAATAAGTAGAGACAAAAACAATGCATTAGACAAAGTGGAGCTTTGAGACCAACTTTATGCTTAGAATTCAGCGTTGGTAAGAACAATTTATGCATAGAATTCTTTGTTGATATTAAATAATGATGTATGCGTAATAATTTGTATAACATTATTCATTGTGTTTATTTATCCCGATCACATAATTTATTATAGAAAAAATAAAAAATAAAAATGATGTTGTATAACATTTCTCATCGACATTCTAGACAATTCACAACGATCAAATGGAATGTAGCATGCAAGACAAAAGCCATAGACGGAGACTTATGTAAGAAGCACAACCAGTTATCTTTTTGAGCAAGAGATTTCATGTATAACACCAACCATCTGCAAAAGATGATGTCCCACATTGGACAAGTTAAAAGTCATGGTAGTCCATATTTTCATTGACTTTCTCCCTTCTCCATTTGCATCAAACTTTTGCAATCTACAATAGTACATCGTCGTCATATTCAAAATTTTCAATTTCTCACCATTAACTTTTGATTCTCTCAATTAATATAGTTTTGTAGACTTTGGGATTTCAAGGTTTTGGATAACTACAGCAAAAGTTTGGGAAATCAATATTCATGAAGAAGGTCAATCTTCTTACTAAAACTTTGGTATACAAGAAATAAATATTTAATACATCAATGCTAACAAAAATAGTCAAATTAATTAGTTTTAATTAATAATATCATATTTTAAAATTTTATTTCAAATATACTCTTATAATAATAATAATAATTACATAGTGTAAATAGTAATTATATTTATAAAAAAAAAAAAACAAGTAATAAACTATCATCTAATCACAAATCACCAATTGTTACATATCATTCTAATAGCAATATTTAATTAGTTGACGGTCTAAAGTACAAAATATTTTACACTATGGTGTACGACTAGTAAGTTTTATATTTAATAACACTACTCATAAATTAAAGAATACTTATTTTTGTAACCAATTAGTATAATTTATATCGCTAGTAGTCTAATAAATACATTCACGGCAAAGTTGAAGAGAAACATTAGTGCATTACTTGGAGTCTGTTTAGACTTTAGATATAAGTTAAAAGATTTTTTTTAAAAAAGTTCTACTAAAAGAAACTTTTTACTTTTAGTAAAAAAATTCTTAAAAATAATTATATATTTGTATCTATACAAATAATCTTTAAAAGAGAAGTCTTAAAAAGAGAGAGAGAGAGAGAAGGAATGAACAAAACACGCGAAATGTTAATGTATGTTTTAGGCTTTTAAAGTACAAAATTTCATTGCAAAAAAATAAATTTAATCCAAAACAGATAAAGTATGAATCAAATGTCAAAGTCTATCAGTCAAATTTTATAAACAACTTTAAACTGTAACACTTACAGAGAACAGAAATTTATGAACCACGTCTACTTGTTACAATTAATTACTATAAAAATTTGAGTCCTCATAGGTTATTCGTTATCGGTTGAAATAATGCTACATCAAAGTGGCTTCAACAGCTCATCTAAAATAACAGCAATTTACCATGCACTTCGTGTCTGCAGATCCCTAATATTCTCTACTTATAATCAGCAGAATATGTTTGACAGGATAATGTTGTCAATTCAACTGTGCAAAATAATCCAAGTAATCATTGGTGTAGAAGATAATGAATTGTTCCACCAAAACTTTCCACCATTTCAGCCTAAAGATCTTTAAAGATGGTTGAATGCCAAATGTATGATTTACTTGATAATTAGCAGCAGCTATCATTCAACTGAAACTTCAATCTGGTTCTGGCCAATTGCATCTCGCACATCATATATAACTGTCAAGTGAAAATGTCTTCAGTAATTTAGCAAGGTCATAAGACTTGAAATCTTTTCCATAACATAGGCTTAGATCCAGGGCTGTTTTTCCATCCTGAAATATGACGAACCAACCAATGAAGTTCTAGTGTAAGGGAAAAGAATAAACCCTTGTTGACTACTATGAAAGGAAGCAGTCAACTTCATAAATTTCTGTCTATAGCAATACAAACTTGAAACCAAAGGAAAAAGAGGTAGACACTTTACAACAGTATTTTCAATAGACTAGCAGTATAGCCCAAAAGAATTAAAAATAAATAAATAAATAACGAAAAAAGAATAGGCCATCAAACAATGCTAAGAATAAAAAGGAATGATAATAACAAATGTTCACCCTGATGCATTTAAATCATTTATAACTGCAATGTCTATTGTGGAATGTACAACAAAGTTACCTTATTTTTCCTTGTCTTATCAGCACCATTGACCAACAAAATTTTTGCTATATCTCTATTTCTACTTTGAATGGCAAGGTGCAAGGGGGTCCAACCTTCCTGAAAGATTTTTAAAATTGCAAAAACATAACACAGACAATATGTAAAATTGAAGAACATCTAAACAAATAAACACAAGCTTGTGTTTAAACAAAATGCTAACATTATCTTCAACATTGACATCGGCCTTGTACTTGATCAATAATTTCACAGTCATCTTGGCACCAACTTGAACTGCATAATGAAGTGGAGTAGCTCCATCCTACCATAGGAATATAGATAAAGACATACAAAGCACACTTCAGAATACAGCCAACAATTTATGACAGTTGTATACAGAATGCTTCCTCACCTTATCCTTAACATGAGGACTTGCACCTCTCCGTAAAAGATGGCTAATCACAGCTTCTTTTTTAGCTATAATTGCCTTGTGAAGTGCAGTAAGAGATTCCTGTTTAATCAAAATAATGATATTCAAGTCAAAGCAAATAATATGCATAAATTGACATACTTGTATGCCAAATATAAACAAACTCACCTTATCAGGTAAATCAATATCAATACCATTTTGAAGAAGCTTATCCACACAACTCATCTGCATTGATAGCACAAGAGTGTGCAATGGGCTCCATTTTGCCTAAACATATGAATAGAAGAGCTTAAAAGTAGATAAGAAAGTGGGCACTAGAAGAGACAGATGCAGAGTCACAGACATACAGTTGATATTTTTTCCAAGTTAGGAGTAATATTCTGTCGCAATATTGCTCTTTCTTCAGGTTCCAAAAGCTGTTCAACCTCTGCAATAATGAAATTATCTTCTTATGGTAGTGGATTGTTGTCCAGGGTCAAAAGATATTCTCCAATCTACTTGTGAAACTTCTTTCAGCACATTTCTATATGTTGAACATATTCCACAATCAGGAAGTTGTTCAACCATATCGAAAGTGATAACTACAACCACTAAAGAGGGAGAAAACATAAAGCAATGGTTTAAAAACTGATTTATCATTAAATCAGTAGGGTTAGCAGTTCACAGCCAGAGCAGTTCAACTAATTTAGATGACATTTAGCAGTTAAACTGGATCAAATGAGAAAACATTAAAAATAATTAATACATGCACAAAATGATCCCTGAAAAGCTAAGGTTGTTTTCTCCTTCCTGTGTTGCTATTACCATAAAAAAGAAAGTGTTTCAGTGTGACAAAAAAGAGGAGGAAAAAATCTTTTAAGGAGAAGAAAACAACAGTTAGGATCAGGCATGCCTAAACTGTGGACACTTTTATTTTAGCAAGGACAGAAGGACCTAATGAAGCTTTGAGGTTTAGTTAGCAAATGAACCATAACTTTGGCTTTAAAGTCTCAAACTTTGGCGCTTTTAAAATTTACTGAGCCTGTTCTAATAAACTGGTCATGCTTTTACCCAGTCCAATCTCAAGTCTCACATTTTGGTCAATCCAGTTCAGGTGCTTGGACGGTTGAAACTCCAACTGATTGGCCTGTCCAGGACCAATCTAGTTTTCAAAATCGTGTTATGGTTCCAAAAGTGATAAAGCAACAAGAACAAAAAAATGTACCTTTCTTAATAAGTTCTTCATAGTTGTCCCCTGAAGTTATATTAACATTAGTAACAACTGAAGTCTTCATCCCTTCCTCCTCTAAATCACTTTCAAATCCAATGTTCTCATCTTCAACTTCCTCAAATTCTTCATCATCACACTCACTGTCACTGCCAGTATCTGGTTCTTCCCAAGTTCCTATTTCTTGTTCGGTTTTAAAATAAGATAAATCTTGGCTAAATTTCATAGCACCAGTACTCCTAACTTTATAATTATACCTAGCAAAAGAGAGACCGAGTTTTCTTTTGTTTGTATTTCTGTATATTTTATAAAAACCAGCTCCCAATTTGGAGTCCATGCCAGATTCAGTATTGGTTGTAGACCGTGGAATAAATTGATTAGTCAGAACAGATACTTTAGCCCAAGAACCCATTTCTGTTTCCCTGAAATGGAGACAAGAAGCAGCAACAAAACAAAGCAAACAAGTTACATATAGTTGTAACCAAGGTTGTCAAACTCGAGAGTCTACATAAACTTGTGGAGTTCCATAGACTTGACTCATAAATATTAAAAAAAAAAACTATTAATGACATACACGCATAACATAATACTCTTAAAACATCTATTTGAACCACACAATAAAGCAAAGTAGCAAACTAAAATGGTAAGGATTATGGTATATTAGTACTAAATAAGATTAAAATACATAAATGATCAAATTATATATAAATTCGAAAAACAGAAGTTCCCAAGGTCAAAATACTTCAAAAAAGAGTCGATTTCTTCAAATCATTTGTCATAGTAAAAAACCAACAAATGGGAGGCAAAACTAAATTTTATATATGTTATTTCAGCAAATTTCACTCTGCCAAGGCTGCTTATCTTGTTATTGCAAAGGGTGCATCAAATGCATAAAAAAAAATGTAAAACAACAAGATAAGCAGCCTTTGCAATAACAAGACAAGCAGCCTTGGCAAAGTGAAGTTTGCTGAAATAACAGATATAAAACTTATGCTGAATCATATAAATAAAATATTCATATTACATGGGTAGGCAACACAACACACATCAAGTGTGTACTTCAGCAGTGGAAAAGAACAGAAATCAGTAGAACTCTTGGTAGCAACAGGTAGAAGGGAAGGAGAAAACATCAAATTGGTGTTTTACATACCAACCCTTTGATTTCAGTTACCCTTAATTCTTCAATACCTTTCTCTCTTCTCAATTTCATTTTAAGTGAATCTTGGTAGCATTGTGTTTGTTTAACAGCTCCACATTCTCAATAAACTACCTGCGCTACTCAGTCGAGTGTGGACATTGTTGAGTGGGGACAGATGTGTCGACATATATTAGTGAAATTTTTGCAATTTCTCATCATGGTGCCCTTCCAGGTGATTGTTATCTGTGTGCCCACGCTACATGATGATTGTCAAACTCTTGAGTTAATGATACAAGCCTGAACTAAGGAGGAGTTTCCCACTCGGAAAAGACGCCCCCACTTGACTTAAGGATTACTTATCTTGAGAATTGTCAAGCCAGAAGCCCAATTGACCTTGATGTTATTGTTGCTTAATTTCTTTGTAATTCCATGAAACCTCTGTGCTAGTGGGCTCACTGTCCATTAGGTTTCCTAGGGTTAATAGGTATTTATTGTCCCTGTATGGAACTTTATGGAGGTAATGAAAGATTGCAGTTTTTCTTCATAGATAATATTTCCTATCTTCTTAGGTTAATAGAAGTTTAGCCTTTATCATGTGGCGCCTTTATTGACCCTCATGCCCCCCAAACACAACAAGGATCTGGAAGAGGCTATGGGCCTTGACAGACCATTTGAACAAAATCACCCAGCAACATGAACAACAGTTGGACCAACTTCAAGCTGTGATGGCACATTGCATGATGCCTTCACAGGTACTACCGCCACCCTTATTGACAAGGTTCAAGCCCTTTCCATTCCCACACCACCAGGTGGTCTCCAATTTAACACACCTCCACTGGTGTCCAACTCCACTTTTACAACCCCTGACCAACCTACAAACACTACCCATCTTCCCAGTTTTAGCCCCTTTCCATCACCAACATGGCCCCTCCCACAACCCGTTCTCATCTCACCCTTTTTTCCCAAGCTCGAAATACAAACCGGGAATGAGTTAATACTATTTTAAACTATTTTATGGATAAACTCTTATAAACTCGGCAGTCAAGATGCGAGTCAATGAGTATGGAATTAAATGTAGTTTTGCCTCCCATTACCCCCATAGCGTTGGTGTTTTACTATGACAAATGATTTGAAGAAATCAACTCTTTTTTGAAATATTTTCAAGGAACTTATGTTTTTTTACGTATTTATATATAATTTGATCATTTATGTAGTTTAATCTTATTTGGTACTAATATACAATAACCCTTATCATTTTAGTTTCCTACTTTGCTTTATTTGTGTAAACTCATATAAGGCAACCAATTGAGCTTTAAGATTCCAACGAGATGAAAACATACATCTTACGGAAATCAAGCCAAATAAGCTATCGTACTACTTCAAAGTCCACACCGCACAGTACATACACATACTTTCTGATCAATCTTTCTAAATAACAACATAAACCACAAGCGGAAGTTCAACCGTTCTTCGATAATAACTTCTAACTGTTTGCTTGCAAACCCAACAAAACATTTCCACTCCCTAATGATTGCTAAAGCTTATAATAATAGAGTCTAATTCGAGGAACGTCACAGCTATGAGTATGGATTAAACGCGAAAAAAATGGGAAAAAGAGGAAGGAGGAGAAGGAAAAAGAACCTGCGGATCGTGGAGAAACGTTGCGAAGTTGGAGTGAGGGTTTTTGAGGCTGAAAATGGGAAATAGGGGATTAGAGTTTTGATATGAAAATGTGGGAAAAGGAAAAGCGGGAACATATACAGTGGGGGTGAGTAACGTTCACTTGCTGCTCTGGTCACGTCTCTTTATCACTACGATTCTCGAACCTTCGGAGGCAAACCTGTCGTTTCGATGTGTAGAGAGAGAGTTGTGTTGTGTTTTGTAACGAATGTGAAACAGGAAAACAGCAACTCTACTAAACATTGTACAAAATTTTTGGAAAATCTACGATATAACTATACATCATATGATTTATGACTGAATTAATAAATTAAAAAAAAAACTTAAATTTTACTTAATTATCTTCACCTTTCCTTCTACTTCTCTATTGTTAGTCCTTTTTCGTATCTCTAACTTCACAATTGCATAAACATCTTCGTTATCCTCATCATCATCACTCTTGTCTTTTTTTATTCATAATTGTTTCTTTTCTAATTCTTTAAGGAACTTCAAAAACTAGCTCTAACAAAAAAAAGTGAAGTTTATTATTAAAATAACAAAACATCTCCTGTAATCTTAAGTCAATTAACACAATTTAAATACATATTTAAATATTCACAATACATATACTTTCAACACTATACTTCATATGATTTAACTGTAGTTAAATAATCGATATATATCATCCTAAATTAATACATAAGAGATTAAAGTCATATAACAACATAAATCATATGAGTAATTCAATCTAAAAATCCCATGTTTAACACTTTAATGATTAACTTTTTTATAATAATTTTCTTATGTAACTTAACAATGTAAATTTCATTTTAATATTTATAATAATATATAAGAAAAATATATCAACAAGTTGTTGGTTTGAATGATATTAGACTCAATTTCTTTAAACAATATCTTGAATTTGAGTTGTGTATAAAGAAAATATGATTGGAGGAAAGATCTCACTAAAGATAAGTAATTAAATTCTTTGATAAAAATTAATGATCAATGAAAATAGTAGATATTCGTATCAATAACATGGTTAAAATATAGGGTTAATCATCCATACACTGTCTGTGTAAAGTTCTATACACCGGTAACCAATCATATCTTTTAAAGTTGCTTATTTTATTATTATTTCATTAAATAAGCAACTGACATGACACTATTAAAAGATATGATTGGTTACCAGTATATATATATATATATATCGTTAATGTTTTTTTTTCAAAGAAAATTATATTTTTATTTTATTTTATTTTTAAAAAAAGTTAATTTATTGTTTTTTACGGAAGCATATAATAGTTTTTAGGTTAAAACCTCTTTTGGTCCCTGATAATACTTTTTTGTTTCAATTTAGTCCCACTTTAATTTTAAGTCTCAATTTGGTCCCCAATAATTTAAATCATTGTAATTTGGGACTTCCGTCCAAATGATTTAAACAGGGTTAACTCCTGCTAACGTGAATGCCAGGTGGATGCCACGTAGATGCATAGGTGGATGCCAAATGTCATGAATACACCTGGAACCAGAACGGCCCGTTCTGCATGCACATGTTATGTGTTAATTTTGCAACTGGAATGGGCCGTTCCAAATGCAAATTTAACACAACATGAGTGCAGCAGAACAGGCCGTTCTGAATCCAGAACGGGCCGTTCTGAATTCAGAACAGTCCGTTCCAGAACGCCAACTTTATGCTTTTTATTATATATATTTTTTATCATATCTATATTAATAAAAATATAATAAATAAAAATACAATAAATTAATATTCATTTATGAATAAAACTAAAAAAAAAATCAAATAAGATAAGACCTTCTAAAATCCTTCTTTGATTTGAACTTATCCAGTTCAAAATCTTGACTAAAATGCTGCAATGTGATTCAAAAATTAAAAATTAAAATTCATAATATATCATAAATTCAAAGACAGAAACATGGTTCAGAAACTGAAAACAAAAATTCAGAACATAACATATACTAAAAAAGTTCAAAGAAATTATTGAGAAAGGAAATCATCTAGGTAACGCTGAAGGGAAACCCTAAACCACAAAAATTCAGGTTGTACCTCCTTAAGAACAAGTTGTTATTGTTGGGGTACATCGTCAATGACTTCAAGGGAAAACACCGTTTCGTTTCATCCTTGACTGTATAGTGTCAATTTGGTAGTAAGTGGTTCACTCCAGTTTGACTAACAATGAAATAAAACTTGTTATCATTGTCCTTAGTGATACATTGCATCGTCCTTAATGATACACTATATAGCCCAAATGTTTAGCAATTGAAGTTATCAATTCCCATTAACAATATTACCAAATCTAGTGTTTGAAATGCTTTGGACTTTTTTTTGCACGAAATTCTGGAACCAGAACGGCCCGTTCTGGTTACACTGTTGGTGTGTAAATGTTGCATCTGGGACGACCCGTTCCAGGTACAAAATTTACACACCAATAGTGAAACTAGAACGGGCCGTTTTGGTTCCAGGTGTATTCAAGTATTTTGGGATCCACCTACGTGACATCTACCTGACATCCACGTGGTTAACTCTGTTTAAATAATTTAGACGGAAGTCCCAAATTGCAATGATTTAAATTATTAGGGACCAAATTGAGACCTAAAATTAAAGTAGGATTAAATTAAAAAAAAAATATTATAAGAGACAAAAGAAGTATTTATGCTAGTTTTTACTACTGTTTGTATAAAGTAATTTTTTTCCCATGCAATGTGAAAATAGAGCCTGAACAGTCGCGCACGGTTCTCGGGGCGCGGTTGTATATCTCTAGAAAAACAAATCATTTTATTACCATGTCCATGACAACTAATATGGCATTGGCCTAACCGAAAAACCTCCGTATATAAATAAACCGTTGCACACATTGTTGATTGTCCTAAAACTACACTCGGCAAGTTCCACCACCATCACCTTGCTCTCTTTTTCACTTCGTAACTCTCGCACGCTCTTTTTCGCGCCTTTTCGAACCTTCCATCTTCGGCGATGGCCACCACCACGACCCTTAGCCCCGCCGATGCCGACAAGCTCTCCAACCTCAAATCCTCCGTTGCTGCATTGAGCCAAATCAGGTCCTGCTCCTCACTCTTTCTCTTTTCCAATTTCCGCATCACTTATTCGCATTCTCGCACATCAACTGTTCTCGCAAGCTCGAATTTGAATCCGAATCGGTGTTATTATTTGCAGTGAGAACGAGAAGAACGGATTCACCAACCTCGTCACTCGTTACCTCAGGTATGCGAATCGTTAATCACGAAGCTTAACGTTAACGTTCATCACGCCTGTTATATATATATATTATTCTGATTTGGTTGATCCTTTTGAACAGTGGCGAAGCACAGCATGTTGAGTGGAGTAAGATCCAGACGCCTACGGATGAAGTAGTGGTGCCTTATGACAGTTTGGCACCGACTCCTGATGGTGATCTTCGTGTTCTGTTTGTTTGATTGGGTTGATTTGATGATATAACAGTTCCATGTGTGTTCACTACGTGAACTGAAATTGATTAATTGCAGGTTCTTCGGAGGTGAAGAACCTATTGGATAAGCTTGTGGTGTTGAAGCTCAATGGAGGCTTGGGGACAACTATGGGTTGTACTGGCCCAAAGTATGCTGAATCTGATTATTAATTTATTTTTACTTATGACTCGGATGATTGGGATCTTTGTTTGTGTTTCTTGCATGATGCTTATTGGAAAGATCAAAGATTAACTTTCTAAATTTTAATTGTGAAGAATGCGGCACTATGTTTTATAGATTTCATTAAAAACTTTGCCATGCCTTGAGAATTTTCTTCAGCTAGACTATTTACTTTTAAAAGAAGAAATTGAAAAACTGATGTCCTTGTAAATTTGATATCACAAATAAGTTATTAGCCTTGTCATAAAAGTCATGGATAAATACGGTACATGGAGTTTTTTCGATTCAAATCAGTTTGCCTCCTTTATTCATGAGGTAAATCGCAAATTATTTCTCAACCTATTGAAAATACAGATTATGGCGAACAAAAAATAATCCAATGGCATGGATTTGGCGAAATTCATGGGGAAAATTGCAAATTATTTGTCAACATATTGAAAATATAAAACTATGGCGAACATAAAATTAATCCAATGTCATGAATTGGGTGGGGGGTTAGAATCATATATGGAATAAATATTTTAACTTACCTTTTTTGGATGTCTTCATTGGCTTGCATTAAGTCTTAATTTGTTTATATATAAAATGCAGATCTGTCATTGAAGTTCGTGATGGTTTGACATTTCTTGATTTAATTGTCATACAAATTGAGGTTGTTTTCCAGTCCTTGCTTGCATGGCTTTTATTCTGTCTTTGCACTTCATGTGAGCTTTCCACTGATAATTTAAATTGTTGTAGAATCTCAATTCCAAATATGGAAGCAATGTTCCGTTGCTTTTAATGAACTCGTTCAACACTCATGATGACACTCAGGCGGTACAAAAGCTTTACATTGGACCCCATTGCTATTTGCTAGGTAAAATTATGGGCTGAATTTGTCGGAATCTAACAATTTGATTGTTTGTAGATTGTTGAGAAATATAAAAACTCAAATATTGAGATTCATACGTTTAACCAGGTTTGTAACTCTGATTATTGCACTAATATATTGTAAATTTGCTGGACTTCGAGATTTAATTTCTTATTTGATATTTTGTTGCATGGACTCAAATTTATGCAGAGTCAATATCCTCGATTGGTTGTCGATGACTTTTTGCCATTCCCATCCAAGGGGCAGACAGGCAGGGACGGGTGGTATGAGTTCATTTGTATTTTGCCTCTGCTTTATTATAGCACGTAACTAGTATACCGGAACTATAGATGTTACTTATTTACTTTTTGAATTAGCAATTCAGCACTAGATAATTCAATAAACATATCTAAAGGAATTCATGTTAATCTTTTTGAAAATTATTTAGTGGATGACCAAGGACGGAGCCAAGGGGGACCTACGGGTGCCACGGCCCCCCCAACAATTTTAATTTTTTTTTATATACATATATATTACTATATGGCACCCCCTATTTTTAATATAAACTCATATGTATAATTAAATGAATAACCCAAATTTATTTTTTTATTCAACTTTTGGCAAGGACGGAGCCAAGGGGGGACCTACGGGTGCCACGGCCCCCCCAACAATTTTAATTTTTTTTTATATACATATATATTACTATATGGCACCCCCTATTTTTAATATAAACTCATATGTATAATTAAATGAATAACCCAAATTTATTTTTTTATTCAACTTTTGGACTTCTGGTACGGCCTGCTATGTGGTATCACTTTGGAATTTTTTTTTTTTAAAAAAAATGTAGCGCCTCATTTGATCATTCCAATTCTCGGCCCCCCAGTATTGAAATCCTGGCTCCGTCCCTGTGGATGACATTTACCATTTTCACATTTTGTAAAGCTCCTAATGTAGTTCTGAGTACTTGCATGCATAACCATGCCATTGTGGAAGTGCAATTTCTTCAATGTTGATTTCTTGCAATATATATTGATAAATCACTAGTCCAACTGTTGGATTTGTGCCTCACGTTTGCCCAGTACTCTGGTTATTATTAAAAAGTTTAATTTCTTTTTTGGTTCTTATGATTTCATAAACTTTATCTTTTAATCACTATAATTAATTAGTTTGTTACTATTTTAGTCCTTATACATATTATTTTTATCCTTTTAGTTCATGTAATCAAATAGATTTTCTCTTTTAGTCCCTGTAAATGCATAATTTTTCCTTTTTAGTCCCTATAAAAATAGACAATAGAGATTAAAAGAGAATAAAAATGGTATGTATAGGCACTGAAACGAGATGTTTTTAACTATAAGAACTAAAAGGTAAAGTTTATGAAACTATAAGGAATAAAATAGTAATTAAACCTTATTAAAAAATATGCCTTAACACACTACTATTTGGGATACAAACACATTCATTGTATAACAGTTCTCCAGAGTATAGATATTGTTGAAAGCTCAGGATTAATTTGTGGCAGCGGTTTCTGCCATGAATCAAACTTTCATTCAAATACTTAACCTACATTTACTTTCAAGTTTTATTCAAGTGGTTGAATAGATTTAAACTTAAGCATCCTTTAATAGATTTATATGTTCAATTAAGGTCAAATCCTCTTTATTTGTCTAACCTTTTTGATAAGTAACTTTCTAGGCACTTAAAACTCCCTTCATGGGAAATTACTAAGTGTAACAATGTTCTTCTTTCTCATATGCATATGATTCGTGTCCTGCACTTAAACCCCATGTGTCAGCAATTTTGGCAATAATCAATATCAATGTAATTGAATTTTCTTGCTTGGGGAACAATTTCTGTTTTCATACGTCACTTCGGTATTCCTTAAAATGTTGAGCCCTAGAAGAGACAGACATGTATGTCGTGTGAGGTTTGATTTATGATGGCACACAAACTAGTCACAATGTTTTATTTACAATTTTAGAGGTAATATCTTTCAACTGTGTTTGTGTGTATATAAGAAATTCATTAAGATTAAGAGAAGAATGCAGAGAAAAGGATAATCTTCCTTACAAATAAGAAAAAGAGAACGAGAAAACATCAATGAAGTGAAGCTGCCCAATTTCTTAAAATTTCTATTAGAGAAACACCTTTGTAAAGACCATGGGATATACACCAAGTAGAACGCCAATGCCTAATCTTGTCCCAAAGAAGCTGCTCGTGCAAAAAAAAAAAAAAAAAAAAAAAAAACTAAAAAAATCTCCTTATATATGAGGGATAATGTTCCAATCAACCATGTACTCCAAAGAAAGGCATAGATTATACATTGCCACGAGAAATTGGCTTCTTTTCGTCTCCCAAAACAAGTAAGCTAGAAAGTGCACTATCATATTATGGTTATGCTGGAAAATACGCCTGCTTTGTTGTTTTCTTTTTAACTTGAAATGTGCTGTATATGCTCAGTAGCACTAGTCAGGCAAGCTGAAAGGCAACACCATAACCTTGATAAGTTGGGAGAACTATAACACAAAAGCTAGCCATTATTATTGGAAACCCAAGGCCTAATAAAACCCACACTAGAATCTCATACTGTCAATGTAGGACTTAAGTGTCATTCCTTGCAATTGAATCCTAACAAATCTTGAGCATGTATCTGCCAATAGTAATTGTTATCTTTGTTTGGCTTATGGTTGATTCCCTCATGCATAGGTACCCTCCTGGCCATGGAGATGTCTTCCCATCATTAGTGAACAGTGGAAAGCTTGATGCGCTATTATCACAGGTTGACACCAAAGCTTGATTTATTTATAGTCGGGCTTTGTCTTTGTTTTTTTGGGAGTCATCACCATTACTATTTTTTTTTCTTTTCTTTTTGTTCTCTTACAGGGTAAGGAGTATGTGTTTGTTGCCAATTCAGACAACCTAGGTGCTGTAGTTGACTTGAGTATCCTTATTTTAAGTTTTCATTACTTTTTTTCTCTGGTTATTTTGGTTGTATTGATGGTTATTTATGTGTGAAAGTTTATGTCTAGTGTCACCAGTATCCTTGACTAGTTAATTTAGAAATCTTAAATCATTTGATCCAGCACAAGAATGAATACTGTATGGAGGTAAAGAAAAATATTTGTTGTCAAGCAAATGCATTTTAGCTTTAGACTTGCATAAAATTGATGTTTTGGGTGCTTCATGCTTGTAATGCAGGTCACTCCCAAGACATTGGCTGATGTCAAAGGTGGCACTCTGATTTCTTACGAAGGAAGGGTTCAGGTATGTAACAGTTGCAATTTCATTTCTTCTCAACCAAAATTTTTCTGATTAATTCAGTACGCTGACTGTAGCAAACGTCTAAATGTCTCTTTTTAAACTATATTCAATGTGATAGTTTCCAAAAGAAGGTGAAAAAATGAATAGAGCTTCTTAGAATGTGAGTTATGTATCTAATTCAACTCTACAAAACTGACTTGTAAGGTGAAAGTTGTCTCCCTCCCAATACACACTATTGGACTTGGTATGACTTGTAAGGTGAAGGTTGCCTCCCTCCCAATACACATTATTGGACTTGGTACGTAGATAAATGATGGGTAGCTCTTTTTAATGATTTAGATTAGGTGAGACTTAGGTTTTTTCCAATACACCCCCTCATGCTCATCACTATCGGGCTTGATGCGTGTATAAATGGCAGGTGACCCTTTTAGAGTGAATCTAGTATAACTCTAATACTATCTTAGAATGAGTTATGGGTCTAACTCAACCCTACAAAATCAGCTTATAAGGTAAGGTTTGTCTCCCATTTATAAACTCCTTATTTGACATATCTCTAGTCGATGTGAAACTTGAATTTTTTCCAATTTGAGTTAGGGCTATACTCACTTTCTAAGATGGTATTAGAGCCTATATTCTAATGGTTATTGATTGTTGTTACCTATTGTGTGCCACCGACCACCAACAGGTGTCTAGTCTTACAAACTTCATGCTCAAGATATCTGGTCTTCAGCGTGAGGGGTGTGTATTAAAAATCTCACATCGTCTAGAAATAAGGTCATAATAGTGTATATAAGTGGGGAGAAATCCTTATCTTATAAATAAACCGGTTTTGTAGGATTAAATTAGGTTCATAACCCACTTTCTAAAAGAGCTTGATAATTGTCCTGCCCCCTCCCTTTTTGGTTTCTGACCCTTGAAAGAAAATATAAGTATGATAAGTTAGAATTTTAAGGTATTGTCGGCAAGTGACATTTAGCTTTGGTTGTTTAATGCAGCTCCTGGAAATTGCCCAAGTCCCAGATGAGCATGTAAGCTTCTATATCTGTCTTGTATGCTTTCATGGATCTTTCCCCTTTCCCAAGTGTACCCAAATGTGAGCAATTGTTTTAGTAAATTATGAAGTATCATGATTAACTATGTATGCATTTGACTTAGAAAAAAATGAGTTGCTTGACTTGAATATTATATTTGTGCTGCGATCAAGGACATTTCAGCTGAATTGATGCTATAGGTTGCTGAATACTTGTTTGACTGGAAAGCTCATGGCTATGGATAAACCTTTTTTTATAATAAAAAAATAGGAAAGATTAAAAAACCACGATTATTCACTCATTATCAACAAAAAATCACTCAATATTTCTTCTCTGGAAAATTGTTAAAGCTTGAAAATGATATATACCACAAGGAATTATGGAGCATTATTTATTTACTATGTATTATCAGCTGGTTACTCTGGTGATTGCTTCATTGTTGAGTAAGAGATAAGGAGATTTCTTTATTTCTACGAAATTGCATGATGTTGCTTTTCTCTCATGGCAGTTGATAACCATTGATGATGAACTATAATCATGAACAGTTAACATTCTTATATAAAAATTTATCCAACTTTGACATTCATGGTACAACTATAACATTTACAAGTTTGCTTGATGTTGATTGCTTCATCAGGAATTATGGTGTTTAGCATGATGTCAGAACGAGAACGTGCTTTTGCTATTTTCTATTTTTTTTTATATATTACAACTACCATAAAAGTAATAATGAGATTAAGGTTTACACATTACTGTAGTATTGTAAACAAAAAAGAAGCTATCCCCTCCTCCTTTCTTTTACATCTGAATTCACCTCCAAATTGATGCTCACTTCATAGTAACAGTAAGCAAGACTTTTTTTTTTTTAATCATAATGTGCTCATAATTTATGATGAAGTCGGGAACATGCTTGTATTTAATGATGTTGATAAACATAGCAGTTCTATTAGAATTTATAAATTATCATTCAATGACTGTCTTCATGCAGGTCAGTGAATTTAAGTCAATAGAGAAATTCAAAATTTTCAACACAAATAATTTGTAAGTTATGCCAGTTAGATCCATGACTGTTTTAGATTATATACACATTTGGGCTATTAACAATGTATAATATGCAGGTGGGTAAACTTAAAAGCAGTTAAAAGGCTTGTTGAAGCTGATGCTCTGAAGATGGAAATTATTCCCAATCCAAAGGTGCAAATTGGACATTTTGTATTGATAGGCAAATAGCCTATCTTTTTCTTTTGTTTTTCTTGGATGGGTGTTATATTGTGGTTAGTTGCTGGACTCTGATGATCAGTTAGAATATTGCTGACAAAATTTTTGAATTTTAGGAAGTTGATGGTGTAAAAGTTCTTCAACTGGAAACTGCAGCTGGTGCAGCAATAAGGGTACTGAATGTTTTTTAATATGTTAATTAAATGTTGTTAATGCTGAAACTTCAGTTCTAGTGCTCTTAATGTAAATATCTTCGACAGTTCTTTGACAAAGCTATTGGAATTAATGTGCCTCGATCCCGCTTCCTTCCAGTGAAGGCAACTTCAGACTTGCTTCTTGTCCAGGTTATAAGCTTTTCTGATTCAAGCCATGCGAACTTGCTTGAAAGTTGATATTTGTCTTTTGTTTAACACAATCAGTTGTTTGTTTGCAGTCGGACCTTTACACTTTGCAAGATGGATTTGTTATTAGGAACCAAGCTAGGGCAAATCCTGAAAATCCTTCCATTGAATTGGGGCCAGAATTTAAGAAGGTTAAGATAAATATTATTAATAACTTCGTGTTAGGTATTCAATATGAGATTGACTTTCCGCGTCTCCTTCACAGGTTAGCAACTTCTTGAGCCGGTTCAAGTCAATCCCTAGTATTGTTGAGCTTGACAGTCTAAAAGTGGCAGGGGATGTATGGTTTGGGCTTGGTGTAACTGTTAAGGTTTGGGATATAATCCCTTACTTGTATCTAATTTTTGTTTCATTATTGTTTTGTTTTATTCTTACAAGCAGGAGACAGGATAATTGCATACTATTACTGCTGCGAAGGAAGCCATGCAATTATTTATTGATTTCCAAACTAATCCTGTTCATTTTATAACTAGGCTCCCTGTTTTTTGTTCTCGCTGTTAGTAATTTATTTTGTATTCATGTTTTTTATTAGTCAATAATTTATAAAAGTCTTATTATTTGGGTTCTTGACATCTGTTATCTTTCTGGTGCCTTAACAGGGTAAAGCAAGTATCCTTGCAAAACCTGATGAGAAGCTTGAAATACCTGACTATGCTGTGATTGAAAACCAGGTATTTTTACTTTATATATGGATCTTATTTGTCAGCAGCATGATCTGCTAGAGCTTGTCATTAGGCCTAAAATTTGAATTGTCATTCGCAGGAAATTACTGGCCCTGAGGAAATGCGAGGAAGGTGATGAATTGTGGAATTCATCTGATTGTGTACAATCTTTACAGTCTTCTACTATAATTTGAGTATTGCATCTAGTTTTATAGGGTAAAAAATAAGAAGGCGGTTTTTTCTGAGGATGTCTGAACATTTTGTACATGGACTCAATAAGGATTATATTTTCTTTCCATATCGTATCAATCAACTATAAAGTGTTTACTCCTTTATTTTTATAAAGCAATTTGTGTTCCTCTATTTTTTTGGGTTGTTATCATTAGGTTTCAATTGAGTAAGTTAATTCGTTTTTCTACCGATAACAGTTTATTTATATTTGGGGTTGTGGGGCTACAAATGGAGTTAGTGGCTAGTGCAGTTTCACGAAACAAGAAGCATGTTCTAAACAGATGACTGAGTAAGTAAAGGGTAGCCATTAGCCATGCAGAAGTACAGGTGCTCAAAAATGATAATATTAGGCTACGATTTTTATTTCAAGCATAGTTTACTTTTTAAAATGTTGAGACTCAGCTATCAAAGTTCTGAATTCTCTTATTGGCTTAAAGGTGGCGGGGGGGGGGGGGATTTTTCTACGTAGAATTATTTTAGTAGATAATCATCTCTATTTTTTTAATAATTCTCAAAAATGTGTTGAATTGATGTTTAACTTTACTTCAAATGTTAACATATAATAAATGGGTTAAAATGCTTTTTCATTCTCACATTAATATAAAAGTTGGTTGTTGGTCTCTTATTTTTAAAATATTAACTTTTAGGTATTTCTTTCTTAAAGTTTGTCAAAACTCATCCTTGTTATTAACTTTAATCTAATACACATAAAAATTCGTGAAATAATTTATAAACACAATTGTCTACTTATGAGAAGTGTCATTAACTATTACATTAGAATGATATTTATTCACTAGTCAAGATTATCCATTTTGTTTGTAAATCCTAATCATATGTATCAACATAATTCATTGGAATTTTCGCATTAGGTCTTTAAAACTTTTAAGGTTTTGATTAAATTTATCATGGTCTCTATCATTAATTGTATTTATTCCACCATATTTAATAATTCAAATGTAAAATGATGAATATCTCGTATACATGCACAAATAAATTTCATTAGACTTTTCATAACTTACATGTGAGTTCATTATCACTCCTCATAAACTAAGTTACTCAATATTATAATATCACTTACAATTTTTGCAATCTCACATATTAGATCACTTATATTAATAATATTTAGACTCAACATAATTTCATTCAATATAATTTCATAATCAAATTTTAATTCATATTCATATGAAACAATCATTGATTATAATCAAACACAAATCAAAACATCCACATGCCAACATAAACACAATAGTAGAATATTTAAAGTAACTATACATATTTAATGAACACACGCTTGGCATAACATAATTCATAACTAATGTATTGCATGTATCAAATATAATATTTAGAATTTATTATGCAAATAATAGAATTTCTAAAAGATTGTATACAAGTTTAAGTTATGTTAACCATCCATTTAAATATTTTTTTTTTCCAAACTAATGATGTTTTGAAGGTTAAATACAAGTGTACTAGATAGGTCATTTGGCCATACCATTCGGCACCTAAGACCATACGAAATGCGTGATATCCGGAGACCACTCGGCACCCCCGGTCACTGAAAACAAACATACCAAGAGAGGGCATTTGGGTATGTCCTTGACAATCGATTTTGATGCCATTTGACTATTCGGCCAATCGGCACCATAGAGCTTGACACCTTCAGCAACCGAGGACCGATTGGCACCCTCGACAACTAAAGACCATTCCGTATCCTTGGCCAATAAGAGGACAACCCTTCTAATGGTTATTAATTATCTTTAATCAATGATTAAGAGCTAATCATGGACATAAAGTCAATTACTAGTATATTACCTAATTTCATAATCCTAGTATAGGGCTCATCGAGATTTTGACCCATCAATGTCAATATAAATCATTCACATCTCGAGGTAAAGTCATTATTCATTAATTATTATTGATAATCGTACTTGTTCTGATTTGGACGTTAAAGTGTCTTTTACAGATATCTCCCCGTCAGAATATCTACTCGGAGTTCTTATTTGGCCTTTGTACTATGAAAATATTACTAGTGTACCCTTAGACAGTTACAACAAATTTTCATCCTATGCTTTTATTTATTTATATTTTTAACTTTTTTTTTTACAAAATTATGTGTATCTTCTAAAGAATTAATACGACCATAATAACTTTTATAAATAACGAAAATTTATCCTTTAAATATTTAATCCACTTAGGTACTTAGAATTCAAAATATAATTAAATCAGACAAATATACATCGATTAATCCATTTATAATGTATTTTATTTTGAAATTGAAATAGCAATGACAATAAAAAAAAAAAAAAAACAAAACAAAACACCCGCCAAAGTTGCGAACCCGACTACAGTGGAAAGCAAATATAATAAAAACCTTGTACAATGTTTAGCAGCTGTTTTTCTCTCTCACATTCATTACAAAACACAACACAACCCTCTATCTACATATCGAAACGACAGCGTTTTTCTCCGAAGGTTCGAGAATCGTAGTGATAAAGAGACGTGACGAAAGCAACAAGTGAACGTCAGTCACCCCCACTGTACGTGTTCCCGCTTTTCCTTTTCCCACATTTTCATATCAAAACCCTAATCCCCCTATTTCCCATTTTCAGCCTCAAAAACCCTCACTCCAACTTCGCTACGTTTTTCCACGATCCGCAGGTTCTTTTTGCTACTTCTCCTTCCTCTTTTTTCGCGTTTAATCCATACTCATAGCTATGACGTTCCGCGAATTAGACTCTATTATTACAATAATGTTGAATGAATCTCGTTATATATTGGACTTGTCAAGTATGTTATATTTTTGCCCTTTTTTTTTGGAGGGTGGTATTGTATGTATTTTTGGGTAGTGGAAAGGCTTCTGATTTGTGTGACATAAGCTTTAGCGATCATAAGTGGAGTGGAAAGGTTTTGTCGGGTTTGCGAGCAAATGTTTAGAGGCTATTGGGCGAAGAACGGTTGAACTTCCGCTTGTTGTTTATGTTATTTAGAAAGATTGATTAGAAAGTACCTGTATGTACTGTGCGGTGTGGACTTTGAAGTAGTACGTGTACGATAGTTTGTTTGGCTTGATTTCTGCGAGATTTATGTTTTCATCTCTTAGTATTGAGTTATGTATTGGCAATCTTAAAGCCTAATTGGTTGCCTGATTATCTAGTAGCCTTGGATGAGCTTGGTTGTAATATGTTAGTTTAACTTGAGAAAGTATTTCGTTTTCTTAAAAAGGTTTTATGCAGAAATTAGCGGGTTAGAGTGTGGGATATGAAGAGGAAATATGAGCGTTGGTAGTATATATTTGAAATGGAAGGATTCATAATGGGTAATATAGTTTGATTGTTACATTGGTGGTTGGAATGGTGTGAAATAGTTAGGAAGGCAGAATCTTTTATTGGTAAGCAGTGATTCATGAAAACGTCTCCAGAACTAATTGAATATCATTTGTGAAGTGCAGCAATTCTAACAAAGAAGCATGGAGTTGCGTATAGAAGAAACACCAGCTCTCTAATCATTCAAGATTTCTAGTAACTGTTGTCTCCAATCTCTAGATGTTGTGAAAGTGCATTCTTCTTTTGCTCACACAGAACTGACGTTGTCTGAATACTGTTTGTTGTAAGGTACTGCTACTGTATGCATTATGGGTGCATACATATCTCATTTCCTACCTCTATCAACTTACAAATTATTTTAGGAGCTTTTTTTGGGTGCCTCTTTGATGGTTTTGCCCCCCTTTGTCTGGAGACAAATAAAATATGAATCCACTTCTCATCTTTTGGGTGCTCTAATATTTACGTAATGGAAACTTCACTAGTTTAATTTTGAGGCTCAATCAAATGTGAAGTGAGGAATATGATTTGACTAAATAACCCGATTATTTATTCAATTATATAAAGATTAGTTGATTGGTGAGCCAAATTTGAAAATGTAATAAATTTTAATCCATGGTGTACTGGAATACCTTGTAGCGACTAAACATGAAGCAGGGCTCTTTGTTCCTTTACATGCTCATGGTTTCACTGACCCTTAGAGAGTATAAATGGAGTTTGCATCCATAAATGTTTTTCAGTTTCTTATTTGTGTTTCTATTTCCCTATTATTCCAGAGAGATAGTGGAGCATGGCAGACCATCGGAATGGAAGTGCCCAAGCAGCCAATGGAAAGGCTAGTGCAGTAGGAACTGCCTATTCCATTGATCTCAATGCATTTCAAACCCGATTGAAAACTTTTTATAAGCATTGGGATGAACAGAAAACAGATCTTTGGGGCTCTTCTGATGCAATTGCTGTTGCATGTCCTCCACCTTCAGAAGATCTGCGATACTTGAAATCTACAGCTCTGAATTTATGGCTTCTTGGGTTTGAGTTTCCTGAGACAATTATGGTCTTCACAAAGAAGCAGATCCATATTTTAGGCAGTCAGAAGAAGGCTTCTATTCTTGAATCTGTCAAAAAACCTGCCAGAGAGGCGGTTGATGTAGAGATTGTTTTGCATGTGAAGTATAAAAATGATGATGGAACTGCTCTAATGGATGCTATATTCCGTGCCATCCGTGCTCAGTCAAAGTCTGATGGTCATGATACTCCTACTGTTGGATACATATCAAGAGAAGCTCCTGAAGGGAAACTGCTTGAAACATGGGCTGAAAAGTTAAAAAATACAAAATTTCAGTTGAGTGATGTGGCCAATGGGTTTTCTTCATTGTTTGCTGCAAAGAGTAATGAGGAGCTCACATCAATTAAGAGAGCAGCGTACTTGACAACAAGTGTGATGAAAAACTTTGTTGTTCCAAAGCTTGAGAATGTAATTGATGAAGAGAAGAAAGTTTCTCATTCTACGTTGATGGAAGACACCGAGAAAGTTATCCTGGAACCTTCTAAAGTCAACTGTAAACTTAAGGCAGAGAATGTAGATATTTGTTACCCACCAATTTTTCAGAGTGGTGGAGAGTTTGATCTCAGACCTAGTGCTGTCAGCAATGATGAGTTACTGCATTATGACTCTGCCAGTGTGATCTTATGTGCTGTTGGGGCCCGCTATAAGAGTTACTGCTCAAACATAGCTAGGACCTTCTTGATTGATGCAGACCCTCTTCAAAGTAGGGCCTATGGGGTTCTTCTGAAAGCCCATGAAG